TCTTTGGCTCGCCTCTGCTGGCAGCAACACAACCCACCATCTGTGTTTCACCTTCTTTTAAGGCTCACCAGTCCCTCAAAGTGTGAATAATATTCAGTAAGGAGTAACGCCTAAGTGGGAAAGCTTTTAGCACATTATCCACTGGCAATTGCAGCGTAATCTCATTTGCCGGAGCAGGTCTCTTATTAAATATCTGCAGCAGGGTATTTGCATTCAGGAGCCTCCTAATAGGTTTAGCCGCTGGGCCGATCTCTGGCTCGGTGTTTGTGTGGGCGGCCATCTCTCACAGGGGAGAGAAAGTGACTTTGAGGACTCACAGGCACACACACACACCTTTGGAAAAATAGAAAGTCAGCAGTTTGGGAGCATGATGCTCCCAGGATGCGACTCCCACTCGTCTGCTTGGCCAAACAGTGCAGGTGCAGGAGACATTTAATCTGGATAAATACTCTGTGTTAGCTGCAATAAACACCAGATTCAGTGCCTTTTAGCGTCTGTGTCACAAAATGCAAATGTCAGCAAATCAGTCACAATATAGTAGAAAATGCACATTTGTTGTTTAATTATACAATAACAGGAGAAGTATATGTAATGAGGAGAAATATGGATTGAAAGCTTAGTTTAACTTTCTATTATAGTAGCATATGAACAAATCTGGAATATGCAGGGTTCTCTGTGGCACCATTATTAAACTTTAAGTACATTTTTTTCTCATGTCTGACAGTAATGTTTTTTCCTGACCACTGTTGAATGCCTTTTCTTGCTACAGCTTCAAGAACCATAATCATTTGCAAGATAGTGACCATTTTCTCGCAGGTCCTTACCGGCTCTTAGGTTTAGGCATCACTGTTCCTCAGACCAGCAAATATTTCCTGGTGGGGCTCAGTCACTGAAACTGCCAGAGAAGGATTAGCTATAATCGTCAGGTTTTATATACAACACTTCACAAGAATAATCCTGTCTTTTTCCTACATTAACATGGAATTTCAGTAAAAATGTGACACATTAAATCTGATCCTATAAGCCAAGAGCTTCAAATACATGGTCTTAAAAAAACAATGAATGAATAACACATCAAGATTAAGGAATAGGACCTTATTTTTCTGTGATAATTCATGGTTGTAATAGTCTGCGCTTTGCTAAACCTACATTTCAATTAAACCAGAAGTGGTAACTACGGAAAGCAGAAAACAAACCTGACTATGACACAAAAAGTAGTTTCTCGATTGGTCTCTGAAAAAGCTCATTATGCCCGAGAAACATCTTTTTTCCAGCTTCAGAACCCTGATGCACAAACCCATTCTTTCAACAAAGATTACAAAGTTGAATATTACTCACCGTTTATGGCCAGACTTGCTTTTTCCCTCACACTTTAGCACCCAGCTCCATTAAAAGTTGCTGTAATTTCTAACTGACTCCTTCTCAAGGCCCCTGAATCAAAGAACACACAATATTTATGTCTTCACCTCAGTGGAAAATGTCTGTGGGTTGAAGAGAGACATAAGGTAAGAGTTTAAGACTATTTTAGAAGAAAAACAACCACTGTGATAGGACAGCGTGCTCTTGCACGTGAAACTCTAACTCCAGAGTTTGTGTTGGAAAACAAGAAGTGATGGAAAAGCATGCAAACAATCTGATGACAATCCACCATTATTTGACCTTTACCTTGCTAAACAGTGTAATTACACGTTACAAATCCTCCTGGCATTCGTAGCAGGTGTGGACCTGACTGCTGTGTGCATTCATTTCCTTCTGAGTCGGAAATTTCCCCTTTAAGATACTGAAATGTGAGTAGAATTATCAGGATCGTCTCAGTCCCCCCCTACCAGTCAACCCATCAACCAAAAGCACTGTTTCAGAGGAATGTCTGCATCAAAAGCAACATCTCCAAACAGAAAGCAAAGATTTATGGATAGGTTTGGAAGTGTCATCTCCTTCTATCATCAAGTTAGTCATAAAATCGTTCCTGTCAAACCGTCTATTTTGGTTTTTTTTTGGGGGGGGGGGGGAAACTGAACAAAACCAAGAAAAAAAGAAAAAAAAACCTGACAGGTTGAGGTTATCTAATTGGCTGCTGGGTCTCGGGGCCTCGGTGGGACAGTGGGGGTGTGACGTGGAGGCTGAGGCAGTGATTGGAGGGCAGGCTGGAAGTATAAGGGGAGGGAGACGCGGACCGCAGCGTCCCAAAGAACCAGCCGGCCTCAGATGTCACACAAACCCCGGAGTCAGCCCCGGCCAAAAGCTCGCCATGAATCCGGCCCGATCCTCGGTTCGGCTGTGACCAGTGCCCCGGAGGTGACCGTCGTTTACGCGCACGATCGCGCAAAAAGTGTCCGCAATCCGGGAGAAACTGTGAACTTTCTGTCGCTGCGGAACTAAAAAGGCAGGCTGGTGTGTTTTTTATTTTTTGGTTGTTGTTGTTGTTGGAGGATTTCTTTTTTATTTTTTTATTTCTTAAATCGAAGGGGAATAATTTGGTCCGAGTCTCTGCACCGACATGGAGTACACGTCATCCCCGAAACCGCAGCTGTCATCCCGGGCAAACGCTTTCTCCATAGCCGCCCTGATGTCCAGCGGGAAGTCCAGCAAGGACAAGGATCCGGAGGAGAACACCATCAAGCCCCTCGGTAAGATGGGAGAAACCAGTCCGGTACAGCAAAACGGATCAATGCCATCTTCTTTGTACTGTAAATTCTAAATACAAATCCAGATAGTTTGTGATTCCAGAAGAAAAGGGGGAAGGAAATTGACACAAAGTTGGAGTCTATTTGCCAGCAGATAATTTCAGTATTTAAATGAGCCTTTGCAGCTTTCATTTGTAGATCTTTTGAACCTTGAATTGTGCGTTTCGTTTGGGTTTAACAGCTGAATCATGACCGTGTGTTGCTGATGGGGGAGTTTGCACTTCATAAATGATATAAATGTTTTTTTCCCTTCAACATAACTTTGATTTTAGCATTGGTTTTAATAAAATTATCCAGATGTCATATAAACACATTTAGATGTTATTTCAGGCTGCGTGCACTTTTATTTTAATCATAAATAGTTTAAATGAAATCAGAGAAATTAAAGAGGTCTGTTCCTTTGTTTTGATTTGAGTGACATTGTACAATTGGATACTTTAAACTAATGTGACGTTTCATGGATTAAACACCAAATATATGTAGATCTATTTGACTTGATAGAGAAAAATAGCATCTACACATATTTATTAAGATATTGTGGACTGGATTTTTTTTCCCTCTGACTTTCCCCAGTTAAGCACAGATGCTTGTGTTTGTTTGGGATTCAAATAAAACGCTTTTCTTCCGTCTGTTTTCTCCACTCTGATGCTGGAAAAAAAAGAGCAATTCGTGGAGAAGTCCTCCTGCAACCAGCAGTCTTTGGCTGACCTGTCCTCCCTGGACGGGCACGGGGACTTCAGCGGGAGCGCGCCCTCCGTGTGCACGGAGCCGCTCATCCCCACCAATCCCGGCATCCCGAGCGAGGAGATGGCCAAGATCTCCTGCAGCCTGGAGACCAAAGAGCTGTGGGACAAGTTCCACGAGCTGGGCACCGAGATGATCATCACGAAGTCCGGAAGGTGAACCAAACTCCTCTCTTTTCAGCAGATCAAATGTCCAGTTTGGGTGGGTTAAAAGAACAAAATTTGAAATCCCAATCCAAGTCATAAGGGGAAAAAAACAGGACCCGATGTAAAATTAGATAAAGGTGAATCACATGATCATTTTAGGCCCAAATAATGGGGAATCACGTGAGAATTTTAGAAGAATTCAAATGAGGCACAGTCTCCCAAATACTCTTTAAAAAAGGTAAATATTTGATCACAAATTTTCCGAGTTCAGCTTAGACACATCATCATCCTCATCATCATCATCACAGCATGATGCCCCCTTGATCTGAAAACCAACCCAGGGAAAGATCCCCGGGTTGTGACCATATGAGGGCATGCAGAACACTGTTTCACTGTGCATTTGAAATGACAGAATAATCCCAAATGACTGTTAATATTCATTAATATTCAACTGAAACTGCCGATGAGAGACACAGAGTCAGTCTGGCTAAAACAGTCGATTAAACTCATTTAAAAAAAACGGAAATGGATTATAAAAACCATGCTTTGCAGATGTTTAGGCCACCCTGCATTTAAACATGTTTTGATAATACATTGTCAAACAATAATGACACGACTGGTTATGAATATTATAGCCTATAACTCTAGGAGAGAAATGTAAACAGATTTTTCTTTTGTATCAAATCTGATGGCGTTAAATGATCTAGGCCTACAAAGCTTTACACAGACTAATAATAACCCAAGCAGCACCCATTAAGTTAATAATAATAATAATAATAATAATAATAATAATAATAATAATAATA